AAGGGCTTAGCACCACTAGAGAGGGGAAGGCGTCCCACAAGGGCTCAGCATCACTAGAGAGGGGAAGGCGTCCCACAAGGGCTCAGCATCACTAGGGAGGGGAAGGCGTCCCACAAGGGCTCAGCATCACTAGAGAGGGGAAGGCGTCTGACAAGGGCTCAGCATCACTAGGGAGGGGAAGGCGTCCGACAAGGGCTCAGCACCACTAGAGAGGGGAAGGCGTCCGACAAGGGCTCAGCATCACTAGAGAGGGGAAGGCGTCCGACAAGGGCTCAGCACCACTAGAGGGGGGAAGGCGTCCGACAAGGGCTCAGCATCACTAGAGAGGGGGAAGGCGTCTGACAAGGGCTCAGCATCACTAGAGAGGGGGAAGGCGTCTGACAAGGGCTCAGCATCACTAGAGAGGGGAAGGCGTCCGACAAGGGCTCAGCACCACTAGAGAAGGGGAAGGCGTCCGACAAGGGCTCAGCATCACTAGAGAGGGGAAGGCATCCGACAAGGGCTCAGCATCACTAGAGAAGGGAAGGCGTCCCACAAGGGCTCAGCATCACTAGAGAGGGGTAGGCGTCTGACAAGGGCTCAGCATCACTAGAGAGGGGAAGGCGTCCGACAAGGGCTCAGCATCACTAGAGAGGGGAAGGCGTCTGACAAGGGCTCAGCATCACTAGAGAGGGGAAGGCGTCCGACAAGGGCTCAGCATCACTAGAGAGGGGGAAGGCGTCTGACAAGGGCTCAGCATCACTGTGCTGCCAACTGCGTTTTCAACAATGTTCACACGTTTGTTCCACAGAAATATCATCATCCCTTTCTTCAGTCATAACACTGTAAAAAGCATTTCATTCTTGGGGGAAAGAATAAGAAAACTAAGGAATGACAGCTCTTTCCCAGTATAACAATTCACTCTCTTTTGTCAGTTGTGGAGTTTGAACTCAGGGTCTGGGCACTGTCCCTCAGCTCTTCAGCTCAAGGTAAGCGCTCTACCACTTGAGCCACAGCATCACTTCTGGTTTTCTAGTGGTTTATTGGAGGTAAAAGTCTCACAGCCTTTCCTGCCCAGGCTGGCTTTGAACTGTGATCCTCAGATCTCAGCCTCCTGAGTAGCTAGGATGGCAGGCGCGAGCCACCGGCGCGGGCTTTAACAATTCACTCTTTATGGTCCTATTCAGGGGTCTGAGCTTGTCCAGCTTGCTGGCTCCCCGGCCTGGCTGCTTCACAGGAGGCGGAGTCCTGCCCACCCTGCTCTCCGGGCTGGGTTCCACGCTCGCCACAGTCTGGGATCACACTAGGAGTCGCCAGCACCCAGCCCACTCCAGTTTCTGCATATAATTTGTGTATTTGTAAAAAGATAGAACATACAGGTTCTGAAATTCACGCGTGTGCTTTCCGGAAGCACAAAGCCTTTGAGTGTGTTCTTTGCCCTCTTTAGGACAGTGCCTAGGTCACCCTGTCTGGCCAGCTCACATCGCGTGGACTGAGCCTAACAGTGCTCTGGAAGCAGGGACAAGTCTGGGCCGGCATTTGGGGACCCGTTTCAAGGCGTCTTGAGTGGAGCAGTACAGGGCTGGAAGGACTTACCCAGGCACCGCGTCTCGGGTCCGCTCCACAGGCCGTTTGCCAGACACTCCCTGGCATGGGAGCCCACGAGTGTGTAGCCCGTGTTGCAGGTGAAGATGGCCGTGGCTCCGTACATGGTCAGCGTCCCGATCTTGTTACCGTTGGGAGGGGAGGACAGGCTTCCACAGGAGATGACTAGAGGAGAGAGAGGGAGCGTGATCTCAGGCCCAGACATCCTCACTGCCCAGAATAAACCACACATCCCAAGGGCGGCGTCACCAGGATCGGGGCGGGTGGCATCAGCGCTCCAAGCTCAGTGTGCTTTCTACAGCCCCTTGACACGAGACCCTGAAGAGGAGGGTTGGAAATACAGCAACTCCCCAAAGATTTAGATCCCTGAAATCACCCATTGTTTGTTTTTTGTTCATCCTTCAACATGTTCCATTTATGGATGTGTTCAGTGACAGCGAGCATATCTACTGTCCTCGCCAGTACACGCCTGGCGTGCATGCTCAGACCCACGTGGGCCTGTAGGGATGAGTGTGCATGATCTGCACCGATATCGCTGGGCAGTGTCCAGGCCATCCGAACCCCATGGCAGAACTGAGTCTATCGTCCTTTCTGTTGCTTACAAAATCGGTTAGATCCTGACCAGGACATGCGGTACATTCCAGAAGCTAGCAAGCATATGTGCGAGCTAGGACTTTTGAGTTGTAGGGAGGGTGAGCAGGTGTCCTAGCATGCCTCCAAGCCTGAGCACTGCCACTGACTAAGCACTCAGGCACAGGAGAGAAACCAGTTACCATATCAGAGACACAGGATACAGCATAGACACAGGACGCACCAGAGACACAGGGTGCACCAGAGACACAGGACGCACCAGAGACACAGGACACAGCATAGACACAGGACACACCAGAGACACAGGACACAGCAGACACAGGACGCACCAGAGACACAGGGCGCACCAGAGACACAGGACACAGCATAGACACAGGACACAGCAGAGACACAGGACACAGCATAGACACAGGACACAGCAGAGACACAGGACGCACCAGAGACACAGGACACACCAGAGACACAGGATACAGCAGACACAGGACGCACCAGAGACACAGGACGCACCAGAGACACAGGACACACCAGAGACACAGGACACAGCAGAGACACAGGACACAGCAGAGACACAGGGCGCACCAGAGACACAGGATACAGCATAGACACAGGACACACCAGAGACACAGGACACAGCAGAGACAGGACGCACCAGAGACACAGGGCACACCAGAGACACAGGACACAGCAGACACACAGGACACAGCAGAGACACAGGACGCACCAGAGACACAGGACACAGCATAGACACAGGACACACCAGAGACACAGGACACACCAGAGACACAGGACACAGCAGACACAGGACACAGCAGACACACAGGACACAGCAGACACACAGGACACAGCAGAGACACAGGACGCACCAGAGACACAGGACGCACCAGAGACACAGGACACAGCATAGACACAGGACACAGCAGAGACACAGGATGCACCAGAGACACAGGACACACCAGAGACACAGGACACAGCATAGACACAGGACACACCAGAGACACAGGACGCAGCAGACACAGGACGCAC